GATCTTGCTAATGACCAATTTTACCGAAGGATCGTTTATAACACACACTATATCGGCAATGTGCAGTGGTGAATATAATGCCAGAGAAGATTGTAATGCGTAGTTTAGAAATTAGGTGTGGGGTTACTAGAAGTATTATCTAAAGGGCTGAGGAAGGGTTGTTGAGGTGGTTCGGACATTTAGAGAGCCTGGAATGAAATATAATGACTTAAAGAGCGTATAAATCTGTAGTGAAGGGAAAACGGGATAAGGGTCGGCCTAGAAAATGTTGGAGGGAGGGGGGTGGGATAAAGGAGTTTTTGTGTGCGAGGGGCTTGGACTTCCAGTAAGCATGCGTGACCGTGCTTGATAGGAATGAATGGAGACAAATGGCTTTAGGATTTGGCGTGCTGTTGGAGTGTGAGCAAGGTAACATTTATGAAGAGATTCAGGGAAACCGGCAAACCGGACTTGAGTCCTGGAACTGGAAGTACAGTTTTATAACTGTAGTGTAGGCATGCCTGTGGCAAGACAGTGATGGCGTGAATGATGATGAAAGTGTTTCTTCTTTTCTGGATCACCCTGCCTTGGTGGGAGACGGCCGATGTTTATATATATATATATATATATATATATTATATATATATATATATATATTATATATTATATATATGTATATATATATATATATATTATATATATTATATATAATTCCTAGGTATCATGTGGTCATCCACTTACTGAAAGGAGAGGACCTGCTTGTTTGTTTGTTTTTTCTTATTTGTAAATTTCTTATGTTAAATGAATAGGGAAGTCACAAGATTATCGTTAAATATTTATATCATAAGAAAAAGTTCAGTGGGTTTTGATGAACATCATGAAGTTCAGTTCATGGCTCTGAAGAAATGCAATATTTTTAGCAAAAAAAAAATTGTAAGTGATAATGTAAGAAGCGAGATGTTACATAAGACTGAATTTGTTAGCTTTCAGATGCCACAGAGTTATGAGAGTGAGAGAAGACGTTGTAGGAGATACTGCAGGAGCTGAGAGGATGTGTAAGAAACACAGTGGGTTAAAGTGAACATAGGTGAGAAGGAGCAAGATCACTGTTATTTGGTTCGTAGCGCTAAAACCGTAAGAATCATACAGAGCCTGGGAATGAGAGGTAATTTCGCTGTATCCGAGGAATGGGAAGGGGTGGGTGTGGGTGGGGTGAGTTGGACCTGACTAGCTTGTGCTACTAGGGCAGATGCCGTGCTCCTCCCTTAAGTGAATGTGGCTGACCTGACTAGGTTAAGGCATTGACTTAAGCCGGTGAGAGAATTGACCTGCCTCGCATGGGCCAGTAGGCCTGCTGCAGTGTTCCTTCTCTCTTATGTTCTTATATTACCTTGCATAGATGACAGAACAAGGTGGGAGGCAGAAGTTATGAAAGCCACAGTGGCTAATTTTTCAGCTCTTGATCCTGCCTCTTAACAGCCTACGACTAGTCTCACTGGATCCTGGCTCGTGAACCTTGTCATACCTATTCCTAAAGCGGTGTGGTGTTTTCTTGGCCCGCTTGCCTAAGTTGTGTTTGCCTGTGGGAGCAAAACACGTGTTAGGTAGCACGGTGCTGTGTTAGTTCAGGAAACAGTGGGAACGTGAGTTTAACCACGTACACCACGGAGTCAACATGAAGACTTCCGTGTTGTCACAGTGCCGTCAGTATTGCTTACACGGTACAGTCAGTGTTATTACCACGGCGCCGTCAGTGTTGTTGTTACTGTGCCGTCAGTGTTATTTTTACCGTGTGGGAGAATGAGATATATGCTATAGGTATTGAGTACAGACAAGCTGCCACCTTCCACCCTTAACCAGCCACTGAATAGGGATAGGGTAGTCAACGCTCAACCCCTCAACGGTTCAACTCCTGGCAAAGGCCCTTGTCAAGAGGCACTTGTCCTTGTTTCCTGACAAACAAAACTCCACTACAAGCTGGTATATTTCTCTTGATTCGAGGTACTAGAGTTACTTTTCCCTTCCTCGAGTTGAGCCTAATTATTCTCCGCCCCTCATTTTAGATATCAAATTATTGAGCTGCAAATACATTTAATTTTCAAATATTTTGTGAACAAAATTTCAGATGCAAGTGAATCTCACTTAGCTCTTTCTTACCGCACTTTTCCTTGCAGATATGTCTGCGATAATCTTGTTGCTGGTGATTGTAGTTGGAGTGAGTGAGTGTGAGAGAACTATCTCACACTTAGCCAGTAGTGCCTCCTACACCAGCTTCCCTACACCCGCCACCAGCCTCGGCACCTCCCTTACGGGGCCTCAATCTGCAACATCCACCAGCTCTTCTTTTGAGGAAGAAACGTTTGCTGCTCCAGAAGATGCATCTTTTGGCAGCAAACCAACTGAGTTGGGCACCAACAGAGGCATCTCTGATCTCACCCTATCGTCGTGGTCACTCACTAAAGAGTACGTAGAACAGATGTTACATATCATGAAGAATTACGATCTGTTGCCTCTGAAGGAAGTGGCCGGCAATGACACCAGAGCAGTGTTGACCTCAGGAGAGTACCAGGGCAAGACAGCTCTGGTGTACAAGCTAGCCCCTGGTACAATAGTTGCTGGCGTCAGAAGAAATCATGATGAGGAAATCGAGCGACAAATCACAGAAAAACATTTTGACATTTACGATAATGACTACGCGGCCTCACATGAAGATATAGATATATCACCTCATAAAGTTGGAAATGACGAAATTTTTCGATCTGCTATAGCTCCTGGCCCAACACAGAGTTGGGAGATCCATTACTTAAATGCTCCACCCAGTCTATCATCCAGAGATAAGCCACACCTCCTCCACAGCAGCACTCGCACCATCCCCGAACACTTACGAGGTCCCATAAACACAGCTGCAGCAGCGGGTGCAGACGTGGTGTTAACACCGGTGGGTGTTGCAGTGAAGGCGTCGAGGAGCAAGGTTCGAGGAACCTGGCTCTCCTTCCTGCTCCTCCACTACATGGGCTTCATACCTCAGCTACCTGGCCTACCAAGACACATTGATCCTTTCCTTGTGGCACCCAGCATACACAACACACCCGCAAGACAAGTGCCGCATGATGATTCAAGAAGCCACATACAACAGATCGAACACTAGTCGATTTTGAATAATTTCAGTGTTTATTAGTTGTACCTAAACAAATAAATCATATCAGTATTTAGTATAAATATTTTTTTACATTTTATTAACATAAGTAATTCTATGTTAATTGTTTGCTATCATTTGTTTAAAACATTTATAAGGCGTTTGATTTAAGATAGTCTTTAATAGTGAATGGCTACAGTATCTTGCATATATTCCTTGTATTTGTTTTGTTATTCCAACAAACGCTATGTAAAAATTATAAAAAATAACGTAACTATACGTTATTTTGATACCTACAATATGGATGGAAGGACAAAAGTACGTCTGGAATGGATACGTGTCCGTCCTGAGCTTGGTCATCCAAATGACATAAGAAAATGAGAAAAACTGTATATATACGTAGTCGAGAATACATATCATACAACAGCTTGCCTGCTTTTATGTACAAAAAAGCTACTCAAGTATTGTCACCAATTATTGCAACGCTCTTTAACAAATCCATTGAATCAACTACCTTCCCAACAATCCTCAAAATAGCAAGGGTCACTCCGATCCACAAAGGAGGTGACCAAGCTGACTTGAATAACTATAGACCAATATCTAACTTACCATCTGCTCTCTAAAATCTTTGAAAAGTTAACTCATAGACGGATCTATTCCTACCTCGTCTCACACAACATATTAAACCCTTGTCAGTTTGGATTCAGGAATAATAAAAGCACGAATTATGCTATCATACACATGCTAGAACTAATATACACCGCACTCGAAAAGAAAGAAGTCCCGCTGGGTATTTTCATTGATTTACGTAAAGCTTTCTATACAGTCGACCATGAACTGCTGTACTACAAATTAACGCACTGTGGTATCAGAGGCCACTACCTCAACTACCTAAAATCATACCTTATTAACAGAACTCAATATGTGTATGCAAATGATGCAAACTCTTCCACCCAACCAATCACAGTAGGAGTCCCACAAGGGACCACTTGGACCACTCTTTCTCATCTACATCAGTGATCTACCGAATGCATCACAGCTACTCAAACCCATATTATTTGCAGATGACACTACATATATCTTTTCCCACCCAAACACAGTCATACTAGCAAACACAGTCAATGTCGAATTGCAGAAAATATCTGCCTGGATGATGACTAATAAACTTACCCTGAATACCGATAAAACCTATTTCATTCAGTTTGGAAACAAAGCTGCAAATGATCCGATTAACATAATCACAGATAATACCACAGGTCATTACCCTACCTTCCTCATAACAAACCTTGGCAAATTACCCCTAGACACTACTAAAGTCACTTTCAGACTTCACAATGAGGCAACTATCAATAACTTCACAGCAGCAGTGACAAACATTGACTGGCACACTGAGCTAGAAATCTATACAGATATTGACGAATGTATTAATAATTTTCTAAAAAAGACCCAATACCTCTATAACAAGCACTGCCCTAAAAAACTAAACAGATGAATGCGAAGAGACTGAACAGTCCCTGGCTAACACCCAGTATCCTGAAATCCATAAATACAAAGCACCTATACGAAAAACAGTACAGAATGGGCCACATAACCAGAGACCAAACAAAACGTTAATCGTCAATCCTAACCAGCCTAATAAGAAGGGGGTAAAAAATTGTATTATGAGAAAGATTATCCAACTTACGAGGTGACATAAAAAGGGCCTGGAAAACCCTATCAGAAATACTAGGGGAAGAGAAAGATAACAAGAAAAAGCGAAATTGAATTAAAAAAACCAGATGAACCCCAGTTCCCACCAACTGAAACAGCAAACAGACTCAATGATATCTTCTCCACTATAGGAAAAAACCTTGCCAATAAAATCCCAAGCTCAGATACCCCACCCAATGACTACCTCACTGGCAACTACCCGAACACACTGTTCCTAGCTCCGACTAACCAACTGAAGTCTCCCTTATTATCAAAAACTAAAAAACAAGACAGGAGATTTAAATACCTTACCACCCAATATATACAAAAAAGTGTCACAGGTGCTATCACCAATCATTGCAACACTCTTTAACAAATCCACTGAATCCTCTTCCTTTCCTACAGTTCTCAAAATAGCAAGGGTCACCCCGATCCATAAAGGAGGAGACCACACAGACTTGAATAACTATAGGCCAATATCCAACTTACACCCTCTCTCTAAAATCTTTGAAAAATTAATCCATAAGCGTATTTATTTCTACCTCATCTCCCACAACATACTCAACCCCAGTCAATTTGGGTTCAGGCCTAATAAAAATACTAATGATGCTATTATCCACATGCTAGAACATATTTATACAGCAATAGAGAAGAAAGAAGTCCCACTGGGGATCTTCATTGACTTACGTAAAGCTTTTGATACGTTGACCATGACTTGCTCCATAAATTGTCACTATGGTATAAGAGGGCACTCCCTCAACTACCTAAAGTCATACCTCAGCAACAGAAGCCAATATGTGTACACAAATGGGGCAAACTCTTCCGCACAGCCAATTGCAGTTGGTGTCCCACAGGGAAGTATCCTAGGCCCTCTTCTCTTTCTCATATACATAAATGACCTACCAAATGCATCGCAACTACTCAAACCCACACTATTTGCAGATGACACTACATACGTCTACTCTCACCCGAGCCCAGTCATGCTAGCCAATACTGTAAATACCGAATTACAGAAAATATCACCTGGATGAGGACTAACAAACTTACTCTAAACATTGACAAAACCTACTACATTCAGTTTGGTAATAGAGCTACAGATGTGTCTCTTAACATAATAAACGGATCACCTATCACAAAACTCTCAGAGGGAAAATTCTTAGGAATCCACCTTGATAATAGACTCAAATTTCAAACACATATACAACAAATTTCCCCCCAAAATTTCCAAGACCGTAGGCATATTATCGAAGATACGGTACTATGTTCCACAGTCAGCCCTCCTGCCCTATATCACTCACTTATTTACCCCTATCTCGCCTATGGAATTTGTGCTTGGGGCTCAACAACAATAAACCATCTCAGACCACTAATCACCCAACAAAAGGCTGCAGTCAGAATGATAACAAATTCCCACTACAGGCAGCACACTCCACCAATATTCAAAACACTAAAACCTACTCACCATACAAAACATCCATACTTATTACTGCACCTACTACTACATAGAAACACTTAACTCTGACATAAACCCTCCCCTCAAACATCTTACCAACCTCAACAGAACACATGACCATAACACAAGGCACAGATCACTCTTTGATGTTCCTCGTGTCCATCTCACACTACGCAAAAACTCAATGCACATAAAAGGCCCTAAAATCTGGAATTCATTACCTGTGAATATAAAAGAAACACTGTCTGTTTATAAATTCAAGTTTCTTCTCAAAAATCACTTACTCACCCACAACTAAATAAATACTGAATAATTGTATCTCATAAATTGTGTCTCATATATATATCTCATTATTTTATCTTATAAATGTCAACCTGTGACCCAATCAAACTTTGTTACTATTTAACTTCATTACCTAACATAATACTCCATTCTACTGATTACACAGCAACACAGTAAATGACCATATGACCTGTCTTTGTAATACTCATTTGTACTAAATTGTTATCTGTTTTACAATAATTTTTGTACCACTGAATATATCATTGCTTAGTTAATCTTAAGTTAATTTTAAGCCTGCCCATAATGCTCTGCATACAAGGGGCTTTGGCATGCTGCACTTTAAAAATTGTATTCCTTATACTTCTCTGTATCATAAATGGATCATCAGTCACAAGACTCACAGAAGGAAAATTCCTAGGTATCCACCTTGACAGTAGCCTTAAGTTCCGGACACACATACACCAAATCACCAAGAAAATCTCTAAGATTGTAGGCATACTATCAAAGATAAGGTACTACGTTCCACAATCAGCTCTCATGGCACTGTACCATACACTCATATACCCTTATCTTACATATGGAATTTGTGCATGGGGATCAACAACATCCAATCACCTAAAACCCCTCATAACCCAGCAAAAGGCAGCAGTAAGAATGACAACGAATTCCCACTCCCGCCAGCACACACCACCAATTTTCAAAAGTCTTAATCTGCTCACCATTAAGAACATCCATACTTATTCATGTGCCTACTACATACACAGAACAATACACGCAAATATAAACCCTCCACTCAAACTTCTCCTCACCAAGTTAAACAGGACACATGACCACAACACAAGACACAGATCTCTTTTGATATACCTCGTGTCCATATCACACTATGTAAAAATTCTATCCACATAAAGGGTCTTAAAATATGGAATTCATTACTACAATATATTAAAGTAACCCAGTCTGAAAATCAGTTTAAGACTCTTCTCAAAAGCCACTTAATCACCATTGACTAAATGCTAAATATTCAATACACACATACTCACCTATGTACTCCCACATCATAACTTCAACAATCACTTTGAACCTTTTATCCATTGTTGATAGGAATATAACTGAACCATTGTTTTTCACAATAAGCATTTTAGACTATATGAATATATCCCTTGTCTTATACAAATTTAATTCACTTATAGTTAATAACCTACTGTTCAACTATGAAATAATTACTGTCCTACTGTACAACTATGATAAAATCCTTAGTATTAAGTAGTCTGTAAGCCAATAATGTTAAGTTGGCTCATAATGCCTAGCATAATAGAGGCTCTCTTTGCATTGCAACCCACCATTGTAAATATAAAATTCTCAATGTACTGTTTGCAAAGACATAAAAAAATAAATAAATAAATAAAAATAAATAAATAATTGGTGATGATCAGATGAAGACTTCAGGTTATCTAACCGTCTTGTTACTTGGCAGCCGAGAAGCAGCGTGGCGCAGCATCGTGTGTACTAGAGTAGTTGGTTTAGTTTAATATGTTTATTATGCACCCCATACCCATCCTGTGGGCGGTAGTCAAAAGATTACAGAGGTACATAATGGGTCCAGGGACTGGGCCTCAAAGTTTTGATAGCTGAGCAAGTTACAGAGGTAATGAATTCACAATTTACAAAGGTAATGAACTCACAATTT